CCTTGATCTAATGTATGAGAAAATGTCATTTTCATTTCTACTTTCCGGAATGCTGAGATTAATAAAGACAAAAATACACTGAATACAGTAAATATGGTCCTAAGAACATGAGATACATTAGAAAACATGAACCAAAAAAAAATCATGTATTTGCTGGATGCTGGTGGCTCACACTTACAATCAAGCTATTCACGAGGCTGAAATCTGAAGATGGGGGTTCGAAGCCAGCTGCGATAGGAAAGTCCACAAGACTTTTATCTCAAATTAAGCATCAGAAAACCGAAAGTGGCACTGTGGCTCAAAATGTTAGAGCACTAGCCATAAGCAAAAAAGTTCAGGACAGTGGCAAGGCTCTGAATTCAAGCCCCATCTCAGACAAAAAAAAAAAATCGTGTATTTATAAAACTTACATTATGGAAAGAGGAAGACAATAAATATAACTAAGAAACTTATATGAGTTAGAACATAACAAATGTTATGGAAAAGATAGAGTTAGTATCAGGGAACAGATTAAGATAATGTATTTTTTGATTACGTGGGCTTTTGTTTGGGGCATTTTCTTCTATTAGTATCCTTTGTCAAATTAGTGTCAGTCATTTGTGTTTATTCATAAGATATAATACAAATAATTTTTTTCATTTTGTTCAGCAAGGCAAAGTTTGTTTCCGTGAATAAGCACATGAATATGCTGAAATCTAATTTTTTCATTTGGAATATGCAAGTTTGTAGCCTTCTATTAACTTTCTTCCACTATGTATATAGGTTTTAGAAATACAGTAATATATATTTTAATATAAAGAAATTTATTTAAACTTCATGCAGTATCAACATTTTATGCATTTAAAAGATATATTTCAAATTTCCAAAGAAGATGAACATTCTCCCAACTAATATTCTAAATTTTTCATAAATGTCTCTTACAAAATACAAGTATTAACATTTTTTGTATCAGTCCTTGGGCTTGTACTTTGGGTCTAGGTGCTGTCCCTAAGCTTTGTGTTCAAGGATAGTGCTTTACCAATTCAATCATAGCTCCACTTAAAGCTTTTTTAGGTAGTGAATTGGAGATAAGTGTTTCATAAAATTTCCTGTTTGGGCTAGCTTTGAACCACAATCCACAGATCTCAGCCTCCTGAGTAGCTAGGACTCTAGGTATGAGCCACTAGCTCATTGTTGGGTGTTAAATGTTTTTTAAACAAAGTAATGCTCTTAGTAGCTGACAAAAATTGTTAATAAGCAATCTGTACAATTTTTTTTCTGTTAGCGGTGGGGCTTAGACTCTCTCCCTGACTTGTGTGTGTGTGTGTGTGTGTGTGTCCGTTGGTCTGTGTATCTGTGTGTTTGTGTCTGTGTTTTGTTTTGTTTTGCTACAGGCTAGTGGTGTACCACTTTTGAGCCACAGTTCCACTTGCAGTTTTCTGGTGGTTAATTGGAGATAAGAGTCACATGGACTTTGCTGCCTGGGCTGGCTTCAAAACTCCATCCTTAGATATCTGCCTCCTGAGTCACCAGCACCTATCTGTACAATTTGCTTTTAAGGTTATAAACATATATTTATTATACAAATTAATGTGATTCATAATGTTTCTATAATAGGTCTATTTGAAATGTATTTCATGTGTAAAGAGTGAAGAATTTTAAGTTCATCTTTAAAAAATGGAAAATTAATTTGTTACTATTTACTAAGTGAAAGATTTTATCATTACTCATCTGAAATATCACTTCTATTATGATTAATTTCTGTGTCTGTCATTCTTCTGTTATATATGATCATCCTTACTGAATTTTTATATATCATAAAATCTATGTTCTAGAGCTGCGAGTGATCCTGTTAAAACATAGTATCAGTCCACTGCTATAAACAGCTGAATAGCTTCCTCTTAATGAAAAATCCACAATCAAAGTGGCTAGGGTTTAGTTGAGGAGAGTTCTCAACATACTCAAGCCCTGACTCTAATACTGATCTTAGTAAAAACAAATAGTATATAAATAAATAAATAGAAGTAAGTTAAATAAGTTAAAATAAATAAGTTAAAAATAAATGTCATAGACTGCTAACTGACAGGGCTCTTAAGTTTGTTGATTCCCCACACCCCATGAGCTCTCTGAAATCTCCTCCTGCTCTCCCCTACCTTGCTCACTCAGCTCTAGCCATGCTGCCATCCTGCCTGTTCTCCTCATATATACCAGACCTTGGGGCCTCAATATTTTTTGGCCCTCTACCTGGAATGGTCCTTCACTCAGACAGCTACAGGACCACTTCACTATGACCTTCAGGATTTCACTCAAAAGCCAAGTGCTCAGTGATGCCTCCCCTGGCAAACCTACCTCTCTGAAATTTCAAGTCCATACATTGCTTTTATTTTTCCTTCTTAGCGCTTGCCGCTACAAAAGTATATTTACTTAGCTTGGCCACAGTCTTTGTCCCTAACATGAAGTGCCTGTGTGGGTAAGGTCATTCTTTATTTGTTCCCTGCTTTGTCATCAGCACCATCAATACCTTTACCTAAACAATGCCTGGCAGCCCCCTCCCATCCAAAGTACCTGTGAGATAAAGAGACAACAAATGAACTAAGAACACAGTCAGGACAAGGAAAGTTAAAATGGGAAGGATTTGCTGGGTGTATCCATGAAGTTACAGACACATGCCTCCAAGGGACAAGTGTGCATTTTATTACAGTGAAGCAGGCCAGCTGGGGGAGGGGCAACTAGAGAGATTCTGAGCCTAAAATGGCTGAATCCTACCTCAGACCCAGCTGCCTTTATCCTTGATGGAATGTGGATCTCAATTATTTGGTTTTTATTATCGTTCTGATTGCTTTCCCACAGAAGGCAGGCATGTATTCAGATTAAGTGAACTTTCCCAAATGTCTGAAGTACAAAATTTAGCTGGGCACCAGTGGCTCATGACTGTAATTCTGGCTAATCAGGAGGCTGAGATCTGAGGAGGGCGGTTCAAAAGCCAGCCCAGTAAGGATAGTCCATGAGACTCTTATCTCCAATTAACCACCAGAAAAATCGAAAGTGGAGCTGTGGCTCGAAGTAACAGAATGTTAGCCTTGAGCAGAAAAGCTCAGGGAAAGTGCCCAGGCCCAGAGTTCAAGCCCCATGACTGACAAAAAAAAAAGTACCAAATTTAAACTAGAAAATAATAAAATCCAAAGATTAAGCAAATGTGATAGTGGACTGAAATTGGTCCCTAGATGGAAAGCTTGTGTTGGATGGAGGTGTATGACAAATTAATTTCTCCATGGTGAATTGGACTTGCCTTGTGTAGTTTTTGAGTTGAACAATCTCAGGTTCACTGTTAGGTTGAAGTTCACAGTTAGGATGAAAGAATGAACTACATTTCTCATGTTTCTTTGGTGAGTTTCCCTAATGCCTCCCCCCTATTACCTTGTTGCCAAAAACCAGCATGTAGGCCAGGCATTCTGGCTATCAGGTATTCACCAGGACTCTGTTTGAGGGTAAAAGTATAGGTTATTGGGTATACAAAAATGAGAGCATGCATTTTTGGGAGTATACATTTTTCAGTTGTGGGGCTTGAATTCTGGGCCTGAGTGCTGTTCCACAGCTCTTCAGCTCAAGGCTAGCACTCTACCACTTGAGCTAAAGCACCACTTCCGGTTTTCTGGTGGTTATTGGAGATAACAGACTTTCTTGCCCGGGCTGGCTTTGAACCTCAATCCTCAGATCTCAGCCTCCTGAGTAGCTAGGATTACAGACATGAGCCACCGGCACCCGACAGAGCATGCATTTTAAGAGGGAGCTTTGGACTGGATAAATAGAAGGCAAAAAGAGAAAGGAAGACACAGACTATGTGCTAGACATCATAGTTTTCAGACTTTATTGAGGTTTCACACTACATCTCCCAACCACAAAACCTCTCCATGTGACAATATACAACCAAAGGAATAGCCTAACACAAAATCACAACTCCCACCTCTACTCTTCATGACATCTACCATCACCTGGAAACAAAGAGCTCTGCAAACTTCCATGACACTTTCCTGTGAGTTTAGGGCAATACTAACCAGAGGGTACCAGTGAGGTGTCAAAAGCCACAGGCTTTGTGGAGGATATAGGCAGAATGGGGCTTCTAGGGAAAGAGAGCTGTTCTTTGTTGCAGCACTGATTGGAGTTCAATTGTGGCTTAAGGTAGCTGTTAACAGAAGAATGGGCAGTCAAGGTCTCCCCTTGCCTTGAGAACACTTAGGGCTCAATCTTCTGATGTGCTTCCTCTCTGGTGAAGCAAGGAATACTTTAGCAAGGGCTACAACAGAGATGGTACTACTGTATCTGGGCTCAACCTTTACCAGATAAAGGTTATTATCTCTTCCTAGAGCTTCTGAAGCCTAATGTTTAGGTTGAGAGTTGAGGTTCTGCTTAACGAGTGTGACACAAACTCCCTGAAACAAGAGAAGTCTTATAAGTAAAAAATGGACTCCTGATGAATTTACTGGAGATATCCCTGTTTAAATGTCCTTCTAAGGAAGCTCCAATGCACCTGCCTTCTTTGACACTTTACACTGCCTTTGTGCACATAAGAAAGAGCAACAATATTGTCAAGAGTCTTGATTTTTCCCTGGGCCTTCCCAATCCTCCTGAGATCTGCTCTCCACACTTCTTAGTCTATAATTTCACTCATTCAGTCTTTTTTGTCTTCCCAGAATTTGTCCTTACTGTGTCCCTCCCTTGTGGGTCACACTAACCTTGCATCAACCATCCCTTAGCCTCTCCACAGATCTCCACCAACTTTATCTTTCCTTGACTATGCTGGATATTTTCTAAGTTTTCTTTGTCTCTTTCTTTGTCTCAATCTATCTTGTCTGGTTTTTGTTTGTTTGTTTTTCTGTTAGTCTAAGCTCCAATATCACTCTCTGCTATGTTTTCACCTTTCCTTCCCTTCCCTACTGGATGTTTCCCCCCTAATTCTCCTTCAGGAAGCCTCCCACTGTTCTGGCACCTCTCCACCTCTTCCTAAGCAGTCATCTCCTCTCTTTAACCCACAACCCATCTCTAGTTCCTTCCCCTCCCTAAAGACCAGACCAGTTAAGTCTCATTCCATTTTTAGATGACTGGTCATACTAGCAGCACTTTATTCACAGGTTGAATTGACAGCTGCTCCTTCCTTGCCCTACCCACCAAAAACATAGTGCTTACACACAGTGTGTCACATCCACATACATTTGTATTTTTCAGAACACAACAACCATTATACTGTCCAAAATGTTTGGTCATCAGGGACCCTTTAACTTCTTCAATACACTGAAGAACAACATTTGTTGCATGTTTTAACAAACTGTTTATTTTCACAGTTGTGACCAATTTTAACCTAACAGTTAAGTCTTTTTCACCAGATCATAGACATAAATATGAAAATCATCATCAAATTTGATAAAGTATACAGAGGGTTTGGCTTCCACTTGATGAATGACCATACCAATCCTTTTGGAGCCATCTTCTTTGGTGTATTCCACATGCTTTCCTATTAGCCCATCTACCACTACTCCCAGCTCCCTCTCTGTTAGAGCACTCTCACTGGCCTCTGGCATAATGCGGAGATCGCCTTCTTTGTAATCATCTAGAAGCTGGTACATGTACAGAACAGGATCTTTCTCATAGGTGATGTAAAACCAAGCGTTCATGATAGGTGCTTGGGCTAGTACCATCCCCCGCCATTCATCCTTAGAACCATGCTCACCCTCAAACAGGTGTTCCACTGCTTTGCCAATGATGGTATTTGCAAGATTAGCATCGCTAACTTGAGATGATGCTACCTTCTCCGACATAATCGTAAGTGATAACACTCTTTCATCCTCGTGAAGTTCTAATCCATACACACAATCAATTCCATCGTATTTCACGAGGTAAAGTGAGGGGTTAATTGGCACCTGGTCAAGAACTGTTCCTTTCCACTGTGTGATGGGACCGTTGCCCTCCTTCCATCCATGCGAAATACGGCAACCCACGATGTTCCTGGTTGGCTGGGAAATACGTCTGCCCCTCTGCTTCTTCTGCGAAGTTTTCTTCTTCATCCCATTGTTAGATCCTGTGGCCTCTCCTGCAGCTTCCTCGGTTTGTTGCACGTCCTCCTCGTATGAATTAGGGGTGTTCATGTCTGCAGGGACGACAAAGGGGTTAGAGACAAATAGCAAGTGTGTGTGCTACAAGACTTCTCTCCACGATGGTGAATTGTGTACACTGTGCCAGTGCCTACGTTTTCCTTGTTATCCAGTCAGCTGTGTTAGAAATTCTAGCTATATGCCTTCAGTCTTAGCTTTTCTCCCAGATTCTTTTAGGCTGTGGGGCAGGGCTGGAGCTGCGGTCCCGCAGAGCAGGATTAGAAAGTCTGCAGGAAAGAATTGGCTATCTTAGCTCAGTGTCCCCTGCCCCCCACCCCTCCCCCACCTTTGGCGCCCATTCAAGATCTTCGGCTAAGCGCCTCCCCTCCACTACCTTTTCCCATACCTCTGCCTTGAGCAACCCAGCCGGCAGAACAGAGACCCCTCCCCACTCAACAACAGCACCCCCCCTCCCATTGTCCCAACCCACTTCCCCCACACCCACCTGGCTTCTCCACGCTCATTTCCAAATTCTTTAGTGGCTCCTAATGCTCCTGGTTTTCTTTGCCCACCGCACTCCCGACACTGCTCTTGCCAAGAGCACACCACCACCCCCTTATCTCCTGCAGGATTCCAGGATTCCATCCCATCCCCCCTCTCCGTTCTGACGTGTACCAATGGCCTTGTCCTGTCTGGCGACTGTCGCCAGGGGGGAGGGGATCAGGGGGCCTTACTCGCGTAAATTAGATACCTCCAGTTGCCCCAGCTAAGATCCTCTGGCAGGGAGGATCAGTAGGAGACTGGCCCCCAAGCGTTCTTGCTGGATCTGAGAAGGGGGGGGGGGGAAGAATTCATAGGCTAGGATAAGTGTCTAGAGGGTTGCGGGGCAGTCAAAGGAGGTGGGGGTATCCTGAGCCCTCCACCCTCCTCTTGGAGGAGGCGGATCCTCTGCCACCTTGGGCTTCCACCAACTGCAGCTGCAGCTGTTGTCTCCTCCTTCTCTCTGTATAGGATTTGTATCTCATTTTCTCGTCCATATTGAAGACGCCCCTTTCTTCCAAATATGGAATTGACTGTCCTCCTGCCCTGGAAACCTTCCTGGCCTCCTCCTTTTCTTTTCAGTATTCAGAACCTCGGAACTATAAGTAGCTTTCTCTTCTTCTGCCCTCTCCTAGTGGATCCAACCAGCTCCTCTGCTGCACTCTTCAGCTCTCTTTTTGCAATTTGTATTCTATCTTTCTCACATTCCTCACATTTTGTTGCACACAAATTTACATAGAAATACAATAGTCATACATTTATGGAGACATAATCTGTAATCTGTCTTGCTCATATGCATACATATTTATGAATGTGTATATACATATCTTAATATCCATTCATTCTGTATTCATAGATATTTGTATCCAATGTCAAGTAATCTCAAATATACATGTCATTAACATTATTCTTTGTACATACATATATACCAACAAATTTACATGTTATCTCCTTTATTTAAAGCAGCATGTAACCTGACAATACAAATAGACATAAGGAGTTTATGTATAAAAATGACTCCAATGTAGAAGCATTAATAAGTGGGATTATTTCAAATTAAAAAGCATCTACACCTCAGTGGGAACAATTTTTCAAATGAAAGATTGCCTACAGATTGGAGAAAATCTTTGCTAGCTCTTCCTTTGTGGTAGGATTAATATCCAGAATATAGAAAATGCTCAAATTAATTGCCAAGAGACAAATAACCAGTTAATAAAAAATCAATTTTAACAGATACTCTTCAAAAGAAGTTCAAATGGCCAATTAAACATAAAAATAAATATTCAACATCCTTAGCCAGGAAGGAAACTGCAATTCAAAACTTCATTAAGATTCCAATACACCCCAATCATAGTGGCTATCATCAAGATAACGAACAACAGCCAAGGCTGAAGGTTCAGGGGAAAGAAATCCATATATACAGTTGCTATGAATATAAATTAGTATAGCAACTAAGGAAATTAATATGCAGCTGCCTCAATAAACTAACAATAGAACTACCACTCTGCTGTACCATTCTGGGCAGGAACCTGATGGAATGTAAAGTAACATACAGTAGAGATACTGATACTGGGAAAGAAAACTGAAACCAAGTCTCTGGGTCATGCCACGGGAAACACACATAAATTTTATCTTCTCCTCACTACCCTTGCACAATCACTCCTTGTAGGTAATTAGTAGTCAATCCGTAGTTAGAACTTTTTCTAGGAATAGAAAAACTATGGACCAATTCTAACTAGACACAGGTGATTGCACAGTGGGAATGGTTGTATCCTTTGCCTGACCTTTTCAGAAAGAAAACCCTACCCAAGGCTTCATGCATCCGGGTCGCATTTCATACATGTTAGGAAAATGGAAGAGAATGGAAAAGGAATAGACCAGACTCAATTGTCAACAGGCTAGGACTGTCACTAGCCAGTGGCACAGACCTTCCTGCAGGTTTGGAGGCTGTGTGAGGGATTGCTTTGGGGATCCTGCTTATATGGGTCTTAACGAGGAAATGAAGGAGTAAAATCAGGCTGTAATTACTTCCGGGCTAGGGATGGGTACTTTTGGTTAGGTCTAGAGTAGAATATCCCACCAGGGGTGATAGGGACTTTTGGCCAGGCCTACATGGTTGGAATAACCTGCCTGTGGACAGGCATGTGGTCAAGCCTCTTGGTGGGCACCAAATGTCTTGCTTGACCAGGGGGAATAAGGTAGAGTCAACTCTTAATACAAATACTTAAAATTGTGAGATGGCAAGTTTGCATATTGTTGATCCCTTCTAAAAAGTAGTCCCTCATTTCTCTAGTGACAGGCCACTATTATTAATATGATAATCTACTCCAACAATCCCTGAATCCTAGAGCACTAAAGCTTTGTAACAAAGTGCTGGCTCTTGAGTTATCCATCTCCAGATATTTCCCTTTATTGTGTATTTTCAATCTTTCCAATAAACTCTTTGCTTTACATTACCTTTGTGTGTGCACACACCAGTTCTAGGGCTTGAACTCAGGGACTGGATAGTTTCCCTGAGTATTTTTACTCAAGGCTAGCACTCTATTGCTTGAGCCACAGCTCCACTTCCAGATTTTGGGTGGCGAATTGGAGATGAATATCACAGACTTTCCTGCCCAAGCTGGCTTTGAACTGCGATCCTCAAATCTTAGCCACCTGTACCTGGTACCATTTTTTTAAATGTACTTTGGTTTAATTCCTTGTTCAGAAAACCAAGAATCTAGGATCTTCACTCATAAGACCACCCAACTGTAAGAAAACCTGTATACTTGTTAATCATAGCACTTTTTATAAAAGCCAAGTTATAGAATACACATTATTCATCAATAAAGAAGAACAAAATTTTGTCATTTGCAGGAAAATAAAAGGTATTGTTCTCTTAAGTGAAATAAGCCAGATCCAAAATGATAAATATCACGTTTTCTCCCCTATATAGAATCTATACATTAAACAATATGATATGAATGTAAAAGGGAGTGTGTTTAGCATAAACACACAGGGGAGAGCAAAGGAAAGGAGAGAGTGATGGAAATATCTAATGTATGAAAATAGAACAATTAAGCCCTTAATTGGTTTTACAATTTTAATAATTGTAAAACTGGGAGGATGTGCTGGGAGAGGGTTAAAAAAGAATCATAGAGGGCTGGGAAGGTAGCTTAGTGGTAGAGTGCTTGCCTTGCATGCATGAGGCCCTGGGTTCGATTCCTCAGCACCACATAAGCAAAAAAAAAAAAAAAAAAAGCCAGCAGTGGTGCTATGGCTCAAGTGGTAGCCTTGAGCTAAAGAGCTGAGGGACAGTGCCCAGGCCCAGAGTTCAGCCCCAACAGGATCCAAAAAATGCATTATATGCATGTATAGAATCCACAAGGAAAATTCTCTTTTTAACTATATGTTTACTATATGTTTCCTATTTTTAAATAGTTGTGCAAATGAGTCACTGCTTTTGTCAGTTATCCCCATCCTCCCAATCCTACCTCTCTCCTCAACTTTCTTATCCATTCAATATTATGATTGTATTCACCCGCCTTTCCTCTCTTCATTCATGTGCTACCCCTTCCCAGATTGATCACCCTAGACCATATAAAATATCAGCTTTCTGGTATTAAAATACCAGCTTTCTGGTATTCATTTTATTAGACTGTGAGTTAGTTTTGCTAAGCAATTACATGAAGTTTCTTTGTATAATTAAAATACACTACTATATAAAAACATTTGAAAAACTAGTATGAAGTAGTGGCTTATTTTAAACTTAAAGAATTATGTCAGTCATGAGGTTTGAACACAGGACCTGGGCACCATCCCTGAGCACTTTTGCTCAAAGCCAGCACTCTACCACTTTGAGCCACAGCTCTTCTACTAGTTTTTGAGTGGTTAATTGGAGAAAAGAGTCTAACATGGACTTTTCTGCCCCATCGAACTATGATCCTCAGATCTCAGCCTTCTGAGAAACTAGGATTGCAAGCATAAACCACTGGCATCCAGCTAAGAATTATTCTTCTTAAAAGATTTTTTCTTAGCATGCATTACTTATATAAAAGGGAATCGTTTAAACATATCCATTAAAGTTATTTTTGTGTATGTGCTGGTTCTGGGGTTTGAACTCAGGTCCTGGGCACTGTCCCTGAGTTATATGCTTAAGGCTAGCACTCTACCACTTGAGCTAGAGCTTCACTTATGGCTTTTTAGTGGTTAAGAGTCCCACACTTTGCTGGCTGGCTTTGAACCATAATTCTCAGATCTCAGCTTCTTAAGTAGCTAGGACTACAGGTATGAAACCCCAGTGCCTGGCTTTAGCCAGTTCTTCTTTTTTTTTTTTTGTCAGTCGTGGGGCCTGAACTCTGGGTCTGAGCGCTGTCCCTCAACTCTTCATCTCAAGACTAGCACTCTATCACTTGAGCCACAGCGCCACATCCAGTTTTTTCTGCTTATGTGGTGCTGAGGAATAGAACCCAGGGCCTCATGCAAGCAAGACAAGCACTCTACCACTGAGCCACCTTCCTAGCCCTAGCCAGTTATTCTTAACTTTTGTTGAAATTTATAACTAACTATATTTTTTCCAAAGTGGGATGACTTCGAATATTGTTGTTTTTCAGGTTGTTTATACATTTTTTAACAAGAGCTTAATACAGTTTGAAAATAATAAAAACAAGGTCCTGAATGAGTCAGAATGTTTTGTTTTGAAAATGGTCCGAGCACATCCAGTAAACTGTAAAGGATGCCACAGTTTCTACACTTTCTATAGGTACTGTCATCAGTAGCAAATAGTTGAAGAAAGCTGAATTATTCGGGTAGAATTTCAGGGAACTGAGATTGCTTTTATTTTTATTTTATTGATAGTACCAAGGATTAAACTCTGAGACTTGCGCTAGGCAAGTGCTTTATCACTTGAGCCATGTCCCTGGTTTTTTTTCTCTTATTTTAATTTTCAGATAGGATCTCACACCTTTGCTTAGGCTGGCCTCATATTGAAATCCTTCTCAAGATTTCTATCTCTCAAG